TGAAATACTGTGAGAAGTTTTCAGTTACCACAGAAATACTCAGTAGTGGGTTTGTTGCAAAAACGTAGAAATAGGTGTCCTGGTGTGGTGCTGCAGGATAAGCACTGGACTGCAAGGTCAATATGAACAGCAGGATTGGTGGTTCAAACTCATGAGCTGCTCCTTGGAAATCTTATATAGGGTCACTATGAGTCAGAAATGACTCATTGGCACTTAAAAACAACAGGCAAAGAGGTCTGGATCCTTCCTTCAACCAATCTAGATTAAAGGGGAAAATGTGCCCTGGTGGCAGCAGAAATATTCAACGACATTAAATGAAGTTAACAATGGTTTGGGACTAAATGGTTAAAGACAACCACAGAATTAGAGAGCTGGTTCCAAGTGAGAACAGGGCTGTCTGGGATCATGGGACCTCCCTCCTTCCAGTAAGTGACTTCTTAGGTGTTTCCTGGACCATTGGGCCCAGATACTTGGCTCCCCAAATGTAAACTACAGGTTCTGGGGCTGCTCAACTTGAGTCGCTAGTTATTTTAGTCCCTAGAGCAAAGAACTGCTAACCTCTCAGGGTTAGTCTTCCCACAAAGCTATGCACTTGCTAGGAAAGAGTCCATGGAACATGGATGTAGCCACCCAAATTCTGGGTGTAAAGGATCCCAGATTAGGAGGGTTTTGGATCATTTTCTAGGATGAAAATTGTTGGAAAAAACAGAGCGACTATCCTGCTGGGAAAGATAAGAATGAAAGGCTGTTGTACTTTGCCATTGAGTCAGCTATGACTCATGAAACCATGTGTATAACAGAAAGAAATGTTGCCTTGCCTTGCACCATCTTCACAATTGTTGATAGGTTTGAGTCCATAGAATGAAAAGGTAATGAATGCTGTTTATCTCAGAATTAAAATTTCATGATCAAAAGACCACAGTGCATTTCAAATAATTTAACTAAAAGAGTGGGTCTGAAAAAAGTCACTTATGACAAAAAATCTAAAGGTAACTTGGGACAGACTTACCCCAAGGGGAGGAAAAGGTAAATCTGTTGTTGGTGATATGCAGATGGTACCACCTTGCTTGCTGAAAGCAAAGAGAACTTAAATATTTACTGATGAAAGTCAAAGACCACAGCCTTCAGTTGGATTGCAAGTCAGTGTAAAGAAAATGAAAATCCTCACCACTGAACCAAAAAATAACATCATGATAACTGGAGAAAAGATAGAAGTTGTCAAGGACTTCATTTTGCTTGGATCCACAATTAGCACTCAGCAGCCAAGAAATCAAACAATGTATTGTACTAAGTACATATGCTGCCCAAGAACTCTTTGAAGTGTTCAAGAGCAAAGATGTCAATTTGAGGACTAAGGTGAGCCTGATCCAAGCTATGGTATTTTCAATAGTCTCATATGCATGTGAAAGTTGGACAATGAATTAGACAGACTGTAAAAGAACTGGTGCATTTGAATTCTGGTGTTGGAGAAGAATAGTGAAAGTACCAGGGACTGACAGAAGAACAAACATATCTGTGTTGGAAGAAGTATAATCAGAGTGCTTCTTAGAAGTCAGGATGGTGAGACATTGTCTCTCATACTTCAGATATGTTATCAGAAGGGACCAGTCCCTGGAAAAGGACATCATGCTTAGTATAGTAGAGGGTCAGTGAAAATCAGGAAGACTCCCAATGAGATGGATTGACATAGTAGCAGCAGCAATGGGCTCAGGCGTAAGAATTGTGAGGCTGGCACAGGACCAGGTAGTGTTTCAATCTGTTGTACACAGGGTTGCTGTGAGTCAGAATTGACTCAATGGCACCTAACAACAATAGACAGGAGTAAACATAACAGTATTGGGAAGCCTGGATTGCCACTGAGACAGATGTCACATTCACTAAAGTGCTTTTAGAGGGATAGGCGTTTTTGTGACTTTGGAGGAGAGGGCCACTCAAGGCAGCCTTGGATCTGAATTGCCTTAAATTTTAATCCTGTTTCTAGTTGTGTAGTTGGGCAGACCTCATTTGGCATCAAATTCCTCATTTAAGGCTTTCCAGGTTGCAAGTTACAGTCAGAAGGTCAACTGGTATACACAGTCTATAAAGACAATGTTCTACATCCTACTTTGGTGAGTAGTAGGATCTTAAAGTCTTGCGAGTAGCCACCTAGGGTACAGCTGTTGGTCTCTCCCAGTCTGGAGAAAAGAAGAGGTAAGAAAACTAAAGATGTGGAAACAATTAGTTCAGTGGACTGATGGGATGTGTAAACATCAAGTCTCTATGACCCTGAGAATAGAAGAACTAGATGGTACCCAGCTACTAGCTGCTCTGAAAGTGATAACATTAGAAGGTCTTGATTAGAGTGCGAGAAGAATGTGTTTAAAAACCCCAAAATCATAAAAAAAAAAAAAAAAAGGTTAATGGTTAGACAGAGACTAGTGGAACCCCTGACATTATGGCTCTTAATCACCCCTCAGTTCTGAAAATTATCTCACCCCTATTTGGCTCAATTTTTAGCCAAACAATAGACAGGTCTAAAAGGGGACCAGGAATCTTGGTGTAGTGCTGTGGGTTAATGCCCTGGACTGCAAAGTCAGTTTGAACTGCAAGTTCAGTGGTTCAAGCTCATCAGCCACTTCTCAGAAACCCTATACAGGGTCACTATGAGTCGAAACTGACTTGACGGCACTTCACAACGACAACAGCATAAGGGAGACAATCATACTAGGGAGGTATGCACTCCTTAGACTAATCAATCTTTTGAGATCAAAAGGACAGCATTTACCCAAAAACAATGTTCAGAAAGGTTAGAAGAGGAGGTGGAATGGAAATGGGAACTGAAGAGAGGGAACTGGGAAATTGAAGTTGCATTGTGGGAATTGCAATCCATGAGAAACAATTGTATTTGAATTGTCAAATGGAAACCTGATCTGCTCTGTAAACCCAATTCACAATAAAACACTTTTTGTCAAAAAGAAAGCTAAGGGTCCCCAGCTGATCTCCTCCCTCCCTGCCTTCCTCAGATGGCGGCTGTTTATGCTGGACGTGTGGCCAGAGACGGGTAAGGATCACGTGGAACCTCGGCTACTT